GGGCCCTGGATGAGACGGGGCCCTGGATGAGACGGGGGATGAGACGGGACCCTGGATGATGAGACGGGCCTGGATGAGACGGGGCCCTGGATGAGAGGGCCCTGGATGAGACGGGGCCCTGGATCAGAGGCACTCAGTTGTGATGGCAAACAGGTTGTGAACTCAAGTGATCGGCAGGGGCCGCGGAGTCCTGGGGTGAGAAGTGTTTCGGTGAGTTGTTTGTGGTGAGTTGTTTGCGTGAAGGGCTCTGCCTGTTCACTCCCTCCGTGAATTCGCAGCCTGAGGGCGTGACTTATTGAAGTCCCCTGTTGAGAGGTGGTGTGAGTCTCCCTAGCCCCGAGTTCTGAGTTTGGCCCAGGTTCTGACCGAAGCAGAGTGCTTGCAGGGGGCCCTTTCTGCCCTGGCATCTGTACTGTTGCCACGAGAATAAGACGGGCCAGCCTGCTGGAAGGGGGACAGAGACACGGGCAGCCGAGCCCCAAGCCGACAGCCTGCCAAACCCAGGTCATGGGAGGGAGCCTCACCGAGGCCTGAATCACTGACCCACCGACGCTCTTGAGCTGAAGAGATGCGTGTTTGAAGCCGCTGCGTTCTGGATGGTTTGTTACGCAGCGTGACTGTGGCCATAGATAGCTGAGACAAGTGCTGAGAGCTGCGTCTGCCACGGTGCAGACTTCCGGTGAGGTCTTCAGAACACCGGGGATGAGGGCGCAACTGAGTCCGTTTTGAGTCCGTCTGGTCACAGGCGCGCCCCTGGGTCAGTGCCTGCAGCTTGCGTGGACTTCATTAGTCGACCTCACAGACAGGACATTGAGGCTTAGCGCTCAGGCCGCACCCCTGAGGCCCATTAGCGGTGGGGAGGTCATGCCAGATACCTGGGCTTCAGAGCATCTCCCTCTGCTTGAGCTTTGAGGCTGGGGGCTCAGAGCCTGACAGGGATGTGGACAGACACCCCCAGGACATGAGCTCCCCGACCCAGGGGTCCACCCAGATCCATCGGGTGGAAGGTGGAGGGAGGCAGCTCAGGTGAGAGGGGAGGGGTTCCACTGATGACAGGGTGGCCACTGGCCCCGGGGGGGGGGGGGGGCAGCCACACAGACCCACAGTTGAGTCCTGGGTGTTTCTCACCCGCATGGAGCCTGCCTGTCTTCACCTGCAAATGGGACTCCTGCCAGCACCTGCCTCGCAGGATTGCCGAGGGCCACACGGACCCGCTACCTGGGCACATGCCGCATGCCTGCCAGAGAAGGGCCAGCGGCGGGGTGGTTATTAGGGTGGAAAGCCGGTCCCATCGGGCTGCAGGCGTCCCCCTGGTTTCCTCGAGGCAGGCTCACCTGACTCCCCACTTGAGACCGTCTTGACTTCTATTTTTTTAATCCTCACCCGAGGATATTTTTCCATTAATTTTTAGAGTGGAAGAGAGAGGGAAAGACAGAAATATCAAAGTGAGAGGAACACATCAATTGGTTGCCTTCGGCATGCGCCCCGACCAGGGCCCGGGCCGGGAAGGAGCCTGCAACCAAGGTACGTGCCCTTGATCAGAATTGAACCCGGGACCCTTGGGTCCGCAGAAGACCGTCTTGACTTCTTACCAGCTGTCTCAAACTGCAAAACCCTGCCTGCGTGGGGTGTGGACAGGATTGCTTCCTGCTCTCACAGTGCCCGCCTGCCTCCTGTCCACCCACCCAACACCGTCAGCACCTAGGAAATGAGCGCCGGCTGCTCTGGAGGGAGGGGCCCCTGAAGCGAGGGGAGCATAGGAAGTGGGAGAGTGAAGACCAACTCAATCCCCCTCGTTCCCGCTGCACCTGTCCTGGGAGTTAGCCCAGAGGAGAGGTGGCTGAGGGCCCGAAGGGCCCCTATGTCATGACTTGCCCCCGGCCTGCCTGCACGGTGGGCAGTGGCACCTCTGTGTTGGCCCAAACAAGCTGGGGGACTAGAAGTCTGGATCCCCAAGTGTCTGGAGCAGACTGACTGCTTCAGAGCCTGGTTCTTAGATCTCAGGACCTGAGACAACGGGGCTGTGACTTCCAGATGCTTTTCTCTAAGAATTCTCTCCCCAAACTCACGACATCAGTGCAAAGAATGCTTTGGGGCTCATTAGCCCTGGGGTGGTAAGCATGCTCCTCCTTTTGGACAGCCATGTGAACTTCAGCTGGGCACCTGGCTCGGCCGTCTCCGGCCTCCCTCGCAGCTAGGAATGGCTGTGGTTGGGGTCCAACAGGATGCAAGCGGAAAGGAAGTAGGCAACTTCCAAGGCAGCAAAGCCCTTACAATGGCCAACAAGCTCCTGGACCAGCACTTCCAATAGGACTTTCTGAGATGATGGAAATGCTTTGGAGCCTGTGCTGAGCGGCATGGTAGCCACCAGCCACGTGTGGCTGTCAGGCCCTTGATGTAGGAACTGAACGTTGAACTTTGTAAATTACTTTAGACAGCCAATGGCTACCATTTTGAACAGCACCACCCTACATAACCCTCCTGAGCCTTCCTCGCCTCCGCACCCAGCACTGCCGCACTGCTCAGGCCCCGGCACTGAGTTCCCCAGACATGCTCCACCCACTCTCCCTCCCCCAGACGGCTCGCAGCTCCCTGACGTCCACTCCCGGAAGTCCTCGCCTCCTGCAATGACTCCCACCTGACCCATCTTAATACTACAACCTGCTCTCCACACACACCAGGCCCCTACCCCCTTCCTTCCCCCAGCTCTCACGGCCTTCAGACACACTACCTATTAAGTGCTTATGTCATTTTGACTTTCCCTGCTAGAACCAAAGGACTACCAGGCAGAGATCTTGGTTTCTTTCATTCACTGATGAGTCCAAGGGTGTAGAACAGGGCCCAGTACAGAGCAGGTGCTGAAGCAATACCTGGTGACGTTGGGGAAGAGAAAAGGAAGCTGCCTGCTGCTTCCTCTCACTCTGGGCGGGAACGTGGATGTGCTGGTGGGACCGGGCAGATGTTAGATCTAGTTAGAAAGTGTAGAGCGGAGGAGGAGCGGCCGCCAGCGCAGAGCCACCATACACGTGAAGCTCGGTTACAGCACCAGAAAGAACTGCATGTAGGTCACTGGGCTAAATCCCAGGTGATACTTTTTACACAAACTACTTTTAATCTCTGAGCACATTCCTTCATCTCAGAAATGGAGAGAACGCCCCCACCTCTGAGGTCTCAGGATTCAGCAGCACCAGGGCGGGCCCAGCTGCGAGCGGCCACCATGGAATTGGGCCTAGAAGGGCCAGGCCCTGAACTCCACTGCCACGAGGCAGCAGCTGGGGTGGGCGGTGGGCGTCTGCGCATCTGTGCGCCCGTCAGGGCTGGGCAGCGTCCCTGCACGCATCTCAGCAGAGTGGGGCGCACTCCCGGCAGCCCCTCCGGCCTGGAAGGAGTCCCTGCTCCTCTCAGCCCCCACCAGAGGAGCAAGGAAGTGGGGAAGGGCAGGCAGGAGCAGCGGGCACTGTCAGCAGCCCGGGCAGTAGTGGACCCGGGTCACTGTGCCAGCACGAGAAAGCTCCGCTTCCCTCCAGCGAGGCGGCCCGCCCAGCACCCACTCTCATGGCGGCCCGAGCCCGAGGCAGAGGCACCCTCCTTTCCCAGGCAAGAATCTCGGGGACAAGTGAGAGGCAAGAGTCACCACTGGGGGAAAGAGGGACAAAAGAACCACAGGCAGACGCGTTTGAGACTAAGTTTATCTGCCTTCCTCATGCCCAAGCTTCCAGGTGGGGCTGCACAGGGGCAGCGGCAGGAGTGTGAGCATCGAGTGGCCATGCTGGTCTGCTCCCGGGAGCGAGGGGCACCACATGGATTCCGAGGCCCCCTTGCCGGCAGCTGCGGGATCAGTCTGTCCTCACAGGCAGGTCTGGCGGGCGGAGAAGCGCCAGGTGCGAGGGCTCAGGGTTCCCTGGGGCTGGGAGACGCAGCCATCAGCTGCCTGAGGTGAGAGGCCGCCTGGTCGAGTTTCGACAATTCCAGGTGGAGGGAAGAAAGCTGGACGGGCGAGAAGCAGTAAGGATCCGGCAGGAGGCCCACCCTCCCTCCACCCTCCCTCGGGAGGCGGGCTCCCTGGGCAGCCTCCCAGCCTCACCCTCTGCTGCCGCCGAGCCTCGGCCTCCCCCTCTGACGGGGTCCGGGCCATAAGGCCGTCCAGCTGCTTCTGCAACTTGTGCCTTCGGGCAGCCAGCAGAGGCAGATGGGCCTGCGGGTCCACCAGGCCCTGCGGGAGGACAGAGGCATCGCGGCCGCCCTGCACCTCCCACACGAAGACCCTCCTCACTGACAGAACTCGCCCTGCCCTCCGCCCCACAGCCTTTCTGACCCTCCCCAGCTCCCAGCTCCTCTGGGCACCTGCAGCTCCATGTAGACCTGAACGCTGTCACTGAGCGGGGCCTGGGCCCAGCCGGAGGGAGCGGCTGCACCTGCAGGCAAGAGGCCCACAGCCCCGCAGCGGCCCAGGGTGCCCAGCGGCTCCAGGAAGGCCTGGGAGA